TGAGCTACAGGTGCACAAAACAGACTTTCCACAGGGCCCGGAGGGGGGGGCGCCCGTGCCTGCGCCGGGGGCAGCGGCCTCATGCGCGCCGCCCGGGGGCCCAGAGGGAGCCCGAGGCCGACGGGACGCCCCGCGGCCCGCGACCTCCGGAGCCGGAGGTGGGGACGCCGTCAGCCAGCCGGGCTCGGGGCCTCCGGGCGGGGGCACGGGGTGTGCGGAGGCGGCCGACGCCTCCCGAGTCGGAAGCCGCCTGCGGCTGGGAGTGGGAAATCCGGACCTGTTTGGGGAGTCACTTGGAGAGGTTTTCTCGTGCGCCCTCTTCTTCCAGCGACTCCCCCACCCCCAAGTGCCCCCCAGGCTGCGAGGAGGCGTGCGGGGCGCTCGGAGGCGCGTGCCCACGCGCGCACACCCAGTCTTCTTCTCGTCTGCCCCGCGCCCAGCCCAGCGGGGGACAGGGCGCAGAGCCCCTCTGCCAGCTGAAGGGCTTTGGGATGGTGGAGAGGTTCAGCAGCCAGGTGTCCCCGAGTTCTCCTGCCGCTAAGCCGCCTCTCAGGCTCCTGCCAGCCTTCGCCCCCGGAGGGTGCGGCGGGACCGCGCGGCCCTGCCCTCTAGGTACCAGCTAGTCCGCGCGAGGACGCAAGGGCTATGCTCCGGCACTGGTGCTCAGGTCCCCACGTTTCGGGGGATCTCGTGGCAGTTCAGGGTGCTGAGCCGCAGGTAGCGGCTTCCAAGCCCACCGGTGGGGACTCAGCATCTCCCCGTGGCTCGCTCCAGCCTGTGAGTTGTGACTATGGATGCCAGTCTAAAACAGCAAGCCTGCAAATGCTTCTCAGCCCGAGGGTGGATGGTGCACAAGGCGTCAAACCCGAAGTGGCTCTTCCACCATGTGCGATCTGCCCCCCAGCTGCGCCTGACAGCAGCGCAAAGGCGGAAGAGAATCCCTCCCTGGGGGACGAACCCAGTTCCCTTGGTCCAGAATTTTCTCTGTAAGTCTGAGAAAATCATGAAACTGCCACTTAGGCAGTGACAGCAGTGGCCCCAGGGTCTTAAGAGAAGAATCTTGGAGGGTGGGGAGTCCTGTATGAACCTTCAGGGGATTCCCCCCCCCCCCGCCCCCAAGTAACTTATTGGGTTAGAGACTAGGCAGCCCTGAGTGACTGTGGCTGGGCCTCGCCCCACCTCCATCACCCTGGAGGCCCAAAGCGCTCACCCTTGACCCAGAGGAGGGAGGGCCACTGTGGCCTCCAGCTGTGGCCTCTGTGGCCTTCAGAAACAGTGTATTAAAACAAATACGAAGTTAAACATCATAATAGGCGTGGGAAGTCAGTCTGGGGAACTTCTTCCGAGAGTGCATTTCCCCTGAAAGATGAGAGGGAATGTGGCCAAGTTAAACTGAACGCGGGACTAAGCTTCCACCAAAAAGAAGCTATTAACAGGTAATTGCAAGGTGGTGAGAGAGAGAGAGTGAGATGGATGCGCGCGTGTGCGCGTGTGCTCGCTTCCCTTTTCCTTCCTGCAGTTTAATGTACTCCAAGTCTAATGTAGCTCATCTACTCCTCGCTCTTGCCACTCACTCCTGAACATACTTACACCCTCGCCCCCGCAGCAGCGGTGTTTGGCCTCGGAGAGTAGCCCTAGGTAAATGTTTTATTCTAATTTTGCAGTTGCTACTATTCATTGTGCAAAGCCCTCTCACCCTGGCCACCAGCAGGACCTGACTTCCCTCCCTCCCTTCCACCAGCCTTTTCTGGCGGGCAACAGCTCGCAGCTGGCGACGGAGCCATGTGACAGCGAGCGGTGCACCAATACCCAGTCACCCTCGCTTTCCCCTAATACACTTCACACCCACGCACTGTGGAGGTGCGACAGAGAAGGCTCCGTGCCCTGCTATTCGAGGCAGATGCACAGAGCGCACTGGAGCAAGCTCTCCAATCCAGGAGCTGCCCGGGACCAGGACTGGGGGCGGGGGGAGTTGGCTGTTGCTATATTTAGACTCCCCGCGGAGTATCTGTGCAGGGACTTTCAGGGTGAAAGATCTAGGTTCTTTAAATGACTCGTGTGCACGCTTGAAAGTTGAAAAAGTCTGCTTTTTTGCAGGCAGCCCAACGAAAACCACTTCCTCTTAACCAAACCGTTTCCCGCCTTGCAGAGTTCAGCCACCTCCGATAGGTCAGGTCATTTCCATCTCACAGCCTTGGCTGGATCCTTGTGCAGGCAGGAAGTCAGGTCCCAGGAATGTGTTTCCCTTACAGAAAGTGAGTTGCTTAATTTCCAAGTGATGCTTTCCTGGGAGCATAGCCGAAATCTTAGTACAACCGTGACATTGATTAAGCAAATGCCATTCATTATGCTTTAAAAACAAACAAATTAGAGACAGTCTTCAGTAGCGGTTTAGACCTGAAGGACCTCTGAAACCTAAAGTCACCTTCAGTTACAGACAAGGCCTTGAGAAGGAGGGGCCATCCAAGTGTTCACAGGCTCCTGTGAACCAGGTCTCTCCTTCGCCTTTCCTTCAGTAGCCCTTCCGCTTGGAGGTGGGCATCTCCAACAGATTTAGCAACAGGACAAAGTTTGGTTGTCCTTGGGATTATCTGCACAGGAAGGAAAGCCCATGTGAGACTGCACGCCTCTCCTGAGAGACACTCTGGACGTACCTTGTTCCCTTTACCTGGCTAGTTTTCCTCAGGAGGTAGGAATTAACTTTGGGAAAATAAAGTCTCTGTTGTTAGCTTTTGTTATTGTTGCTCCCTTGAATACAGATGTTGCTAGGAAGCTGCCTTTTATTAGTTCCTTTTGCTGGAATAGTATAACCCAATATCAGAAGACAGGGTAGTGCATTAAACATACAAAATAATATAGCATAGATTCTGTGCATGATGATTGCATCAAAGTATTATTAAGAAAAAAGTAAATGCAAATGACAACTGATTTTTTCAAATGAAAGTGTTTGTTCCTAGTGTGGAGCCTGTGATTTGATTGGTCCTCCCCATCCATTGGTAGTGGGGTTCCTTCTATCCGTTATACCACATATTATAAGATGCCGGCCTGAAATAGGTAACCTCAGATGGAGCCTTGCATTCTCCCAAGCTGACACAGAGATGGTGTCTACTAAAGATGGTGACCAGCAAGAAACAAAATGAAACTGGGGGGAGGCGGGGAGGGGTTGGTTCTATCCCATAATAGTTTCCGTCTGAAAGGTACATGGAAGTAATAATATCGAAAATTACATAGGTGAGCTACAGGTGCACAAAACAGACTTTCCACAGCTACTGGAGGGGAAGAATAACTCAATCTGAACTGGTTTAACAAAATAGCCATAGGGTTAGGGCAGAACAAAAAAAAATTAGAAATTAAAAAAAAAATATATATCTCTCTATATATATATATATATCCATAAGCCCATTCTGCTTTTCCCTTATGTCTCTATACTTCCATTTACAGCTTGCCCAAACCCTCCAATTCCTTATGCTTTATGGGTAGACACTGTGGGGAAGACTGCTTGCTTCTTACTGGGCCTGGATCCTACACCTGGCTCATCAACCTATAATTCTTTGGCCTTAAGCCAACATCCTTTGATGATGCCTGTCAACCCTGGAACCTTTCATAAGCTTGCTATCTGACCTGCCAACCACTCTGTGGTCTTCTTACTTCATCTTCCAGCTTTCTGATTCAAACACCTGAGTTATGTGAGTCAGGAGAAGCCTCTCACTTAACTTCTGATCAATGGATTTGAAATACACTAGACTTGCCCACTCCTACAAATTTTTTTGATAAATCATTTTATTGGGGGCTTGTACAGCTCTTATCACAATCCATCCATCCATCCACCCATTGTGTCAAGCACATTTGTATATATGTTGCCATCATCTTTTTTTTTTCTTTTTGCCATCATCATTTTCAAAACATTTTCTTTCAACTTGAGCCCTTGGTATCAGCACCTCTTTTTATCACTCCCTCTCCCACACTCCCACCCTCATGAACCCTTGATAAATTATTATTATTTTCATATCTCACACTGTCTGCTGTTGTTTGTCCCCCTGAGGAGAGGGGGTTAATAGTCAATCACTGTGATTGGTTCTCCCTTTCTCCCCCTCTTTTCCCTACTTTCATGGTATCGTGACTTCCATTACTATTCCTGAGGGGTTTATCTGTCCTGGATTCCATGTGTTGAGAGCACTTATCAGTACTAGTGTACATGCTCCAGTCTAGTCAGATTTGTAAGGTAGAACTGGGGTCATGATAGTAGGTGGGAGGAAGCATTAAAGAACTAGAGTAATGTGTGTTTTGTCAGTGTTATACTATACCCTGTCTAATTCTTCCCTTCCTTGTGACACCTCTGTGCACTTCAACAATTGTGTAAGCTAATTTTGTAATATAAATGTCTCTCATATATATACAGAGAGAGAGAGAGTGTGTGTGTTTTGTTTCTCAAGAGAACACACTCTAACACGCAGCTGGAAGCAAAAAGGAGTGGAATGTAGAATATATAACTTTTGCTATAAAAATGAAAAATTATACTGCATATAGTGAGCTAGCACTTTGTAAGACCGATGACATACTTATTGCAAATATATATTTTTAATATTTGCAATTTTATTTGGAATTAATACAATCCAATCACATCAAGCAGTACTGCACAATTGCTACCACAATCAGGTTCAAAACATTCTTCTCCTTCTTGACTTCCTTGACATTAGCTCCCTTTTATCCAACCCCCCACTCCCCCCACTGGACCACCCAGAAACCTTTATTCTACATGATGGCCCTATAGGTTCATC